CGGTCAACGCCACGCTGCTGCGCGCATGCGACGTACCTCGCGAAGTCTTGGCCGTAATTGAACCAAATTTGTCAAAGTCACGTATCTCTGATCCTTGTGCGTGTGCTGGGCCTTTGTACTTTGCTGCATGCAAGCTGCCTGATATTGGCTTCTGTGATCCCTACAAGTCGGGACTACAGCTTTTCCAATCAACCCACTTTCCTTTGACATTCTGTGCGTGAGAATTGTGTGGGCGGCAGCCGGCAGCTTGACAGAGGAAAGACGGCGAAAATTTCGCATACTGATGCATTGCATTATGCAAACAGCACTGAGCAGATTTTACACTCGGACTAGCTTGTTCCGTGCGCCCTCTCGGAGGGAAGCTATGGTTTAAGCTACCTAAATACAAAGTAATGTATAGTGACAACGCAAGTGCCCTAACGATCCCCAACCAGCCAAACTCCAGCACCAGGGTTTGTTGGAATCTGTTAGGATGAGTACTAGTAAACTGCTGTGGTTTTACGTTGGATTTAGGCATACTACAAATAAACAGAGTCCAACTGTTGGTTTATGTGTACAGTTTACCATGTGGTGTTGGGATTTGTACGGATAAGGAAGGTTTCTGGCGGAAAATCAGCCTAGGGAGATAGGGTTAATGCCTATCACATAGGAACAACATTCTACCCTCACTAACAACGCACTACTTGGAAGGGGTCTGTTTCTAAAAAAAAAGAGTGGTCTCTGTAGTGATCTTCAGTAAAATCATGGAGCTTTAAAAAATGTAAAGTCTTAAAAATGTTAAGTTCTATACCCTCCAGACCTTGCTGCGCTGGTACCCATTGTTTTATCTATCGGCAGTCCGTATCGCGCAGTGCAGTCGGACTTATTAAAGAGTAAAGAGTTGCGTGCTATGAGAAGCAGAGTAAACACATGAACTATTTTCTCTCTCTCTCTTTGGGCGGCAAATGGCGACGTTCTGACGGTCAGATGGCATCATCAATCGCCGCAACACCCGCTGTTTTCACGGGGAGACAAGATCCCGATTATCACGATCACGGAAAAGATCCACCGGACAGGTTCGACAGAGGTGCACCGAGCGCATTGAACTATTCACGGCAAACCGTACACACCGTGCGCGGTCAACGGGGAAAATGGTTTGGGCAGGGGGAGTTTGGGAATTGTTTTGCGCACTGATTTTAATTACCTGTAGTGTACCTGCCTGTTCCGCACCTGGTTAAGTTTTCACACATGTTGAGGGTTAATTAAAAAAGTTGAGGGCATTGGCCTTCCAATGGATCCCATTAATTAATTCCAGAATCCATAACCATAGGAGGGTGAAGCCCATGGATAGACGGAAACTTATACAGTTAGACCAGTACCATGTGTCAATGTGTCGCACCTGACTTTTGGAGTTGAGAAGTGTGTAGCCGTGCTGTTCTGGGCACGAGTAAAAATAACGACTAAAAATGTTCAAGTATGAAGAAAACGGGGTGTACCCGATGTTCCTTAGGGTTAGGGTTAGGGCTGGGGACGTAGGTATTGGGGAACATAGGTATGCACCCGAAGAAAACAGACAGACGGCAAAAAGAGTATAATATGGGAAGCAAGCTCGAAAAGATCTCGGAACCTGCGGCCCAATTAACTGTAGACTCGGACCTGTTGTTTAGTAGCTAGCTTATAACAGTTACTGTACAATAAGCATGGAGCTATGCCCATGATGTAAAAGTCTGTTCTTAAAATCCACAACTAATAGTACTCCCTGGTCGCGACTCGACTGCCAATTGAAAAGCATTCCCGTTATTTTGTTGAACGTCAGTTGGTGCATTACATGCAGCGTTTTGTGGAACACCCAATTGTGTGCAGTAATGAGAAATGAGAGACCTCGTGACCCAATTTTCCACGATTGCTTATAAATATAATACATTGTCATTGGTAGCTGGTGGAGACCTGAAGCACCTGTTGTTGCGAGGGTCTAAGGGACAAGGTGATTGATTGCCAAAAAAGGCATATGCTGACATTTGTTTCAACCCAACCAACCAACGGAGAAACATGACTTCTCAATAACCCACACGTCACACCAATTTTACAACATTGGGTTGGCCACCGACAGGCATTGCAGTGTTACCCGTTTATTTATTCTTTCTTCTTCTTTTTTTTTTTTTTCATGAATTTAATATTTACATTTTTACGATTATATATATGCTAAATAATAATAGTCAACTATGGATCCAATTTTTATAGAGATCCCAGATTGTGAATACATACACAGCGACAATCTTTAGAAATAATTTCAACGCTCTGATGCACTTTTCTGTGACTGTGCCATCATTAAATCAATCAAGTTGTGATTTGTATGTTGATCCTGCACGCCAGCGGAGTGAAAAACCAGAGATAAAAACTCTTGCGAGAAAATACTCTGGAAAACCCCGCTAGACGAATAAGACTAATAGTAGTATGGTTTCCGCTAATTTCTCTAAACAGTACTTTTCCCGTACTGAGAGTTACTACATTGCATGACTTTATGGTCAAAGTGCCCGATTTCAAAATCTTATCTATAATTGCGATATTGTAATAATAATGATCAATAAATATAAACTTGAAAGAAGTCGAGCCTGCCGGTGCGCAGATGGTCCATGCTGACTAAGCACCGCGTTATATACTCCCCCTTTTTGCTCCAATCTTCATCCGCGTATGGCGGAGTGACATTTACACTTATTGAGAACTACATTTCGTTCTAATTCGCCCCGCTCAACCGAACGAAATACCATTACTTACAGCTGCACTACTTAGAGCTGCACAGCCGTAGCTAAAAAACACCATTTGGCTTTGCAAAGCGACCGTCATTATTTTTTTTTTTTGCAAAACGTACCCGACTATTTCGATATAATACTGCATCCGAAATTGCAGTCGCTGTGTGTATTTGAAATTACAAATTTCTTATGGGCTTGTCAAACTATGTCCTTCATCGTCAAACTTGAGAATAAACATTACCCTAAAAATAGTATACAGCTGTACGTGTTTATAGCGCTGTTTCTCTAATGTATAGTTACATGGAATTGTTTTTATGTGGCGCAAAGCGAGAGATAACTTGAAGAGTCGTCTGCATGACTCTAGAGAGCTCTGCAATGCTGCAACGAAACAATGGCTTGTAGGGTCAAAGGTCACCGGCGTGCCTGATAAACAGCAGCGTCGAAACTGCCTGGCCACTTGGGGCAATAAACAAATCAATCTTTCGGGGTATGGTTTCTAGGCTTATCTGGAGTTTATTACGTAATCAAGCATGTGCCAGAGATTATGTGCACGGCTGGTACAGAACATAACATGGGGGGGGGGGGGGGCGGGCGAAGCTGGAATGCTGGCTTGCCGCACATGTGCACCTTCATGTATGCCTGCTCCGAATTCCGAATGTCTTTATTTAGGCAAAAAAAACCCTACTTACCTAGTTAGAGTTGAGTGATATAAAATATCCCTACAATGGGCTACATTGTAACTAATCAAAGAAAGGTTTGGATTTCACTTTCAAAGATTTAGAAAGTTGTTTTACTGAAGCCGAGACCAAACTGAAACTGAACGACTCGGTTTCTTTTTCCTTTTTTTTCGTCTGTGACTTTTGAAGACGTTCCCAAACAATATTAAAGAGTCATTAAGCGTTGTATTACTTGAATATCTGCTTCCTAGCGTTTGCCTTCCAAGGGCTGGTATTATTAAATTATACCCATTGCCGGGAATTACCCACGTTTTTCCCCAGTTGCATTTTGATTTGAACTTGCCAGAATTGTGTTCCCTTCTATATATTTATCCATGGAGCTCCATGATTTATCTCAATTCAAGCGGAAAGTTGTTCTTGTCTTTTATTTCACTTGTCTTCGAGTGGTTGGTGAATTTCACAAAATATGTTTCCCATTACAAGTGTTCTATTTTTAGGATTTATCAATATTTATAATATATAGGGCGAGTCAAAAAAGAGGAACCCAACAATAAAGAAATATATTTCATATAAAAAAACTATGTAGCACCAAAATTAATTATGACTTGGAAACCCATTTAACAAACTACATGTACTTTTAAGTGAGAACATTATTTTAATTTCTCTACACGTTAACATCTTATCACTATTTAAATGAAGTAACCAGTTTCGTCCCCCCCCCAAAAAGCAATTTATTGTGTATTCTGACTGTTAATGTTTGGAACATAAAAGAAAATGACAGAATACTTGTTTCAACAACCGTAGTACACAATATCTTTATTCTTGATTAACAACCCTGCTTTAGCTAACAAAAGCATTTATAAAATTCATTTTTTTTTTAGAGAAGGGCCTTCAAAAGGTGTTCGTTGAATATGTTGAACTTTTAAACTGAGGTTTTATCGCTGGTGAAGTTTGAAGACAATTATTGTAACAACAGTTCTTGAAATTGCATTTTTTGACGAAACAGATTTTCGTTTAAAGGGATCATTTTGTTTAGATGGTGATATAACTCAAATGGATTGAGCAAATTAATGTAATTTTGTCACTATGAAAGTACTTTATTAAATTGGCTTACCAGTCATAATTATTTTTAGTGCTACATATATTTTTATAAAATATGAAATCATATATTTTGTTGGGTTTGACTTTGAGTTCAGTATATTTTTTACTCCCTCTGCATGGACAAACTTAAGCCAAAGGGTAGATGAAAGGTGTTCCTTCCTCCATGGTTGATGGTAATTACTTTGTTTAACTATTCAAAACGGGGAAAAAATTAAGGTCAAATTGCAACTTGTCAAACTTTGTTTATTGTGATTTATGGTAAAGCAAACTTTGTACTAGAACCATAACGCAAAACTGGGGTGGGACAACGGGAAAAACCAAAACCACCGGAGAAAGTTTATTTCCATCATAAACGATGGCTCTAGGAATCAACCATCCCATAAACTAACTTTGTTTACGTCACAAGAGAACGAAAAAAAGCTTGGTGCGGTGCCCTTTATGTTTTTCCTTTAGTTATCAAAGCAGCCGATCTCATCGTATACAGCGCCGAGCGCTTTCAGGTCTGTGGAGAATTGATGAGCTGTTCGTGGTTTTCATTGGCTGTTTGGCCTGATTGGCGTCCCGTGCTAGGAATTTGATGTCCGTGTCACAGGGGGTCGAGTTGATGTCGACATAATAATTCCCCATACCCGGACCCGAGAGAGTCTGCGGCCATTACGGAATAGTATACACCAGGGTTTTTTCCCTTCTGAAGTAATCTACAAGCTGGTATATGAAGCATTAGTTCAGCAGTTTTTGAGGCAGTGAAGTTTTGTCCAAGGGGCTAGCGAAGCGATTTGCCGATTGTGCCATTTTGGGTAATCGCGCTTGAATGAGGCACACGGACTCGACAGGTTTGACTGGCAACATGGCGGAGATTTCCTCCATGAGCACAGTAGACATGAACGCGACAAATATGGCCAATTCGGCGGTGTTTCCACCCGGCTCCACACAGCAGATTTTCAACAACTGGATGGCTTACTGGCCGCAGATACAGCAGCAGCAACAGCAACAGCATCAGCAAGATCAGCAAGGAAACACCGTGCCGACTGGATCTAAAGGCGGGCATCATCACGGGCTTCCTAACGGGCTGAACTCGGCAGCCGACCAACTCGGTTTGTCCGGAACCTGGTCCGAGAAATACATCCAAGAGGTTTGTTAGCCCTTCTTTTGCTTTTATAAGTTTTAATTTCTTTCGAAATTGTAGTACTTTTTTTCTGTCGTTTGAATCTCTAATGTTATCTGCATGTTGTAGGTGAATGTCTTACATGTGTGAAAAAATCGTCACTGTTCGTTCATTTTGTATTAAAATGCGAAAATACAGCACAGACATGATAGATGTTCGCCAGCGAATTGTAAAATTTAGGCTTAAATATCGCGCAATGCAGTCATTGGTCTTGACAGTCGTACGACCATGACGACTAGTCTAAAAAAAGAGAGGAAAATTTATATTTTCGTCATGTTTGTTTTCGTTGTTTGTCAAGTAGATTTAACCTTTTAGTTTTACTTCAAATTTGCACACGGACATGAGACTATTTGCATCGATTCAGGCCATTTATTTTTAAGATTTTAAAGGCCTCGGTTTTGGCTCGTGAGTCACTTACATACTATTTCTGTCGTCATAGACAATCGGTTTATTTTTGGATGAACTGAAATTGAATAATTCGTTTTTGATGCAGTAGTATTGGACAGCTTGCATGGCTTTAACAAACGAACGAATTTTAAGGGTTTTGACGAGATTATTTTTAAGATCCGAGGTCCAAGATTGTCATTATTTTTCAAGATTAAGGATCCCAACTTTTGGATATTGTGTTTGTTTACAATATGCCCTACTGTTCGAGCAAATAAGAAAATGGTGCTGGTACGTTGTGTTCTGAAACAACGCGAGTCTTTTTACTGCGTGATACCGCAGCGTGAAATAACAGTCAGTGCGGCCGTGTGTGCCCCGTTGGGGTTATGAGGTCGACGCGCTGCACATGCCGCGTGGCAGTCCCTTGCCACTCGGCCATAATCGGCACACACCTTGAAAATGATCATAAGAGGATTTTGCCTATTTGGTAATCATTAATTGTGCATATGAACAATGATGAAATAATGATAGAAAATACAGTAATTTGGTGATGATTTTGAGCACCATTTTGACGTTTTCAGAATGCTGTTTTGATGTCATTTGTCATGTTTGTGTGAGTCTGAGATCCTGAATTAACGAACGAACCTATTGTGAACTCATTTCTAGAATCGGCTTGAAGGCTTTTTGACCGCATCTCAAATATAAGCTGATAACCTCGTTTAATTTAGGTTTCCAAAATGTTGTTGTGCACTCATCCAGGCTATGGTTTATGTACAGACATGACAGGAAGAATAAACCAGTAATACCCGTTTTCCTGTTTACACGTCGACGCTGTGGGTGGGAGGTCGTCGCCTCCACCATCTGACATATATTTTGCGTCTCAAATTGCTGGAGATTAATTTGGAAATGGGCTTCTTTATATTTGACCGGAAGTCTGGACAAATATTTGATGAATACATTTTCTGTCTCTCAACATTTCAAAAGCATGTCAAGTAGAAGTACCGGTATACCACACAAGTTGCAATTTTCGGCAAACCTACCAATGCAGCAAAAGTGGAAAGACATTACACACTTGTTCCATTTTTGCGAACTTAATTTTGGTCTTATAAACACCTCAATTTTCAAGCCGGCGATACCCCTAGAAACAAGACTTCCTGAACATGGTGTCAATTTCAGAGCCTTACCAATGAATGAACTGAATAGAAGCCGCAATTGACACGTGTGGGTACTTAAAAACCCCTCAAATCAACGCTACCACTTTACAAATCGCCGCCCATTGTTGTGCCTTTTGAGTTCACCCACCCGCCATTGTGAGTAGTTTGTCGTGTTAAACGAGGCGATTTCTTTTCATCTACTGTTGACAAACCCGCTACTAAATTGCCGTTAATCTGCTTGGTAAACTGCCTTTTGACCCTTGGTAAACGCACGGACAACAAACCGACAATGCTTTTTAAAGTAGTAATGTTAACAAGCACTTAATAGAAACCTAGCTGGGTTTTAGTGCAGTTACGAATTGTGAGGCCTTTCATGTCGAAGTTTTAGCAGCATTTGTCCTGGTTTCTGCAATTTTTTGTTGAGGCGGTTTACCCTTTGACTCGAGGGGGTTATAGACCTCACGTCTGGTGGTCATTGAACCCGACCTGACTCATACAAAAGGAATGTGCTAAAGTTGGCCAAATCAGACAATAAATTCAAGATGTCTCCTGAGATGTTTCAACTTGAGGAAACTAGTTTTTTTTCATGGCCTGACTGACCATGATTTGTGACATATTCCTGTTAAGGCCAATGGAAAACATAGCCTTCCTTGAAAACCTGTATCTTTATTGTTCTTTCAACACTCTTGGATGTAAAAAATAATAATGCCAAAAAATGGTCATGTCCCTGGGAATTAAAGGGAATATACATCATTTGCTTTTGCTGTAATTTTCAGAAATGGATGGAATTGGGGGGTTGGAAATATAAAGCAAATATAGTTACACTGACTTTTTGGAGGTTTTGGGTTCGAAAATGCTATAAAAACCAAGAAAAACGATCATTTTCCTGTAGTCTGGTTCCCTGACTCCATATAAGAAGAAACAAAGCAGTTTACATACATTGGGGAATTATAAGGTCAGGGAACCAGTCTAGCTGGCTCGTACCCGTTCATAGGTTTGTAATCGATTGCAAACAAGTGCAATGGTCAATTGGGGCCAGTATTTGAAACAAAGCCAGTTGTTTCCAACGCTGATCGGCCGATCAGCGTTGGAAATTGATACAAAAATACCACTTTTCTTGAAAATGACAGTATACCAGGTGCCATAATTTTACAGGATGCTTTAGACTGTCATTTACCAACATCCTATTAAGGTATTTCGCAAAACCTTGGTAGTTTTATTTTTCGATGTTTGCAAATGTTGTATATTCCCTTTAAATAATTCTCATTTGATAATTTATGTCAAAATGTATACATCTGTGTTTTTTTGTTAGGCTAAATACAAACATGACTGCAGTATTTAAAGCCAGAATTGCCATTCTTGAACTGGAATGCAAAGATTCAATTTTGATTGAAATAGAAAAAAAAACCCAAAATAAAATAAAAAATAACAAAAATTCCATTAATAAGGTCGTAATTTTAATAGCAGATGTTTCCGTTTTTAGCAGTGTTAGTTTTCTCTTTTTCATGTTTTGAACGATGTCTTGACTCCAAAAAAAAACAACACCACTTAATTCAGGAAATTTAAAACTTGTTTCTCACTGAAGTTATTTTTGAAATTCCAAGTAAATAGTTTTTCTTGGAATTCTCAGGTTTGTTGACATTTCCAATGTTTGTTTTTTGTGGTTAACAAGATTGGAAGAATTTATCATCTGGCAAGGTGGTTTTTGGAAAACATTGCTTGGATCAAAATTGGGCAACCAACTTCAAGTTTTGGCTGTTTACCAAAAATTGTGTAAACCCTCCCTCTAAATTTTCAATTGAATTGCTGACAGTTGATGTCCTTCCTTTTGGTTTTGGACCCCATAAGTCCCAAACTTTCTTCTCTCTTGGGGGGTGGGGGGGGGGGGGAAAGCCCCTCTACCAAAAAAAAAATAATGCCAGGTTTTGGAAGGTCAGAGTGGTTAATGGGTTTTCCATTTGCCTGGTTTATTGTGGCGCTAAGGACTGTAAGGCTACTGTTTCAGAGAGTTTTAGCTTATGATTGGAGCCACATGGCTTGGGTAGGACTCAGGGATCACATGGCCTAGGCAGTAGGGACCGTCTTGAAAATCAGCTGTCGGGTGTTACGGACTTGTAGTTTCTGGATTGAATAAAATTATTCTGGGTGCAACTATTATTACGCATAAGTCTTTAAAGTAGGCTACTGAGTTCTGAAACTGTGAGCTGGGAAATCTGATATTTATTAAGTAACATTTCAGGAATTGATGTACATGTAGTTTCAAACTTGATTAAAAAGCCATTGTGATATATTGACCTAAGTCTGACCTTGACATATGGAGTTGATTATCCAATAAGATTAACACTGTGTTGACATTTTTTTATCAGTTAAAAATGAAGAGGTACTATACCGCTAATGCCATTTTTTTTTACCTTTTAGAATCTCGCCCACTCCTAGCTAGCTGCCCAGACAGTTTTGACTTAGTCTTACAAATTACAATTTTTAGCAAAAAATGTAGGTTAGAAACGGCTGTTATAATATGCATGTTCTATTATTCATAACTGCAACTTTTTCACCTTTTTTTCAAACGGAAACCACATTTCAGGATTAAACTCTTCATTTCCGTCTGAATATCTGATTTGAACCAGCCAGCCGACCCAGGCTAGCCCGGTGGTTGAGTGGTAAGACGTCTGCACTAGAAAGTAGGAGTCCTGAGTTCGAGTCCGACCCCAGTGATCTTTTCTCACAATCACTCGGGGAAAACACTGAGTATACAGTGTTTATAAACAAATAATTCTTCGGTGAACTTGGGCAAAACCAAATATTGAGTCTTCAAATATCGGAACTTAGAAAATTACAAAGCTCAGGTTTTTATCTGTTTACTGGAAATGTAATGTTTCAAATACATGTAGATCTCATGTGTGCTGCACTAGTTTACTCAACACTAAACTATGGCAATAGGTGTGGAAATAGTTCAAGTTTATTGTCAAAACACTGTCTGGTAACTGTGGTCATAAGGTTGGATTTCCTACCCAGAAACCTGACCTATAGACAGGCAAGTAAACGCAGACATCCGTTTTGGTAACTTGAACTTCCATTCAACATACAGGCATGGACATCATGAACCCTACATGTAGAGGAAAAGAGTATTAGACAATAGGCAACATGATGTTCAAAATAATGTTAGGTACTGTGTAAATTTTGAATCAGGGTATATTTTGTTGTTAAATTGTGAATGGGATTAGACAATTCTACCTAAGAAAATTGCCATCATGGAATATTCAAACATATTCTTCAAATTCAATGCAGACAATGGAAGCTTGTTTGAATGCTTTGTTTGAATCAGAAAAAAAGGTTGCTTACTGAATTCAAGCAAGTGCCTTGTATTTATAAGTATAACTATAACTTAATACATTATTGTGATAAACTGCCTCAAGAAACCACAGAATGTTCTTTCACTTTGTAATATTTATGTACATGTATCTCCATATATATACACAAATACTCTGAATATTGAAAAACAGAGAACTTGAAGTTGAAACATAAAACCAAGAAAACATGGAAGCAATTGTGTTTCTGATAATAGAGCATGCATGGCTTCAAGTAAGTCGAGCCATTAAAAATATTTTGTTGTTAGTATGTTACACAAATCGTAAGTGTTGGAGACAGACATACATGATGTACATAACATGCACTGAACTTAAGAAATTTCAAATACCACATTTCAAATTATACCTTTTGCTGAATTCATATCAAGTAAGGTTTTGACATTTTGTCAAACAGATTAAACATAAATACAACCATAACCATGGGAACTAAATTTGAAGCAAAATCATAAAATCACAAATTGGACGTGTTCACGGTATTTGTTGAACCAATCATCTCATCAAAATTAAGCAATTACATTTTCACACAGCTTAAACATGTCATATTCGTGAAATTTATGTACCAATTCAAGATGGCGGCCAGGCATCATCTGCATTGACACAGACTGTTCAGTAATCACTGATGATGTAAGGCGATTCCCATGACTCATATTTGTCTCCATGATGGTGAACTTATAAATAGAACTCGCGCTTCTAATTTTAAATGTCAGAAATATGCATGAATGCCTGCGTGCTGTTTTCATATCTCCAGAAGGACCAGAAGTGCACTGGGGTTTTGAGTACAGAAAAATGAAAGTTCATTGTTTTTGAAGAGTATATTGTAAATATCAAAAGAGAATCAAGAAAGTCAAGATAAACTGTTGGTGCTTTTCATCGACTTTGTTTATTTCTTCAAACTTATTTTCAGTTTTTCTATTTAAGTTCAACAAAAATAACTACCATTTCTATCTTCTATCGTAGGCTTTTATTCTCTGTTGCTTCTGCACCTGTAATGCCCAAAAAGATTATGGCAGGGGGGCAGGGCCATAAAGAATTGGAAATTGTAAATGTAATCATTCAAAGACCATTTTTTCCCCTTCGATGTCTTCTTCACAAAAATAGCAATAGAAATAGGTATATTTTGGGGGCAAATCTAAAAAAAACTAGTACGAAAAGTGTGTTTTATAGGCAATACAACATTTGCAAACATAAAAAACAAAACTACAAAATTATTATGAAACCCCTTACTGGACTGTTAATGAATGACAGCATCTGTTAAATAAGCAGACAATCGTTGAAAAAAAGTGGGTTTTTTTTCACAAACAGCCTCAAATCAATTTATCAAATTTAGTTAGTCCACATTTTGTTTGCAAATGGTTACACATCTGTGAATGGGTACAAGCCAGCCAGACTGGTTCTCTGTCCTTACAATTCCCACGACGTCTATAAGCTGCTCTGTTTTATCTGAAGTGGGGTCAGGACACTAGACTACAAGAACATGATTTTTTTTCTTGGTTTTCCAGCATCTAGGAACACAAAACTTTAAACAGGTTAGTGTCACAATATTTGCTGTAAAATATTAAACCCCAAATCCATTTATTTCTGAAAATTACGGCAAAAGCAAATATTGTTTATCCCTTTAAGTTTAAGGAGATTTCATTTGGGGAGCATTTTAATGAACACAGAACTGCGAGTCTAGGCTACTCCTGATTCAACTGGAAAAATAACCCCCAAAACAGTCTGTTCTAAATGTGAAGTGTGAACCCCCACCTGGACGAAGCTCTAGCCTGTTCGTAGGTTTATTAAAAGCTGACCTACGACCTCTGTCATCAGTTGTATATTTTAAGGGCTGGTTGCTATGGCAATGTAGGCCACTTTTTGCTCTGTGGTGTGACAGACAAGATTTATGGCGCAAGGGCAGGACAAGAGGGAAAAGGTCACTCTGATAATAAATTATTGTTTTAAAAAAAGTGTTCAGTTGTTTCTTAATTGTAAGTTTGTCCAGTACATGCACTTGGATTTTAATGGGGACAGTGAACTATAATTATGAACCACTTGTACATGTACATGGTTGCAGTTGCAGGAATAATGAAATAAATCTTTGAAATAAAACAAATGTACACCTGTAACTTTTAATAACCATTATCAACAAATAACTTTGAAGTTTGAAGTGGCTTTTCCAATTTTCGATAAAATTTTATATTATAATTGCGGTTTTCTAAATCTGATATTCACTTCTAAATGAGACGTCGGACAAGCTTAGTTTTACAGTTACTTTAAATATTTGGAATTCTGCAATGCCTGATAATATTTCGCTGGGAATTATTTTTGTGAAAATATTTATAATTGAAAAATCATTAGGAGAAAGAAAATCAAATTGCTTGAACTAGTGGAGGGGGATAGCAACTTCAACTTAAAGTTACAGGATTTCATCTTGTTTGTCGTTGACAGAATCCAGATCTCTCAAGTCAGTTGTCAGACTTCTTGATGATGCAGAATGGGGAGCATCCATACATCCAGAACAACACGGCAAGACACTCACAGAGACTGGAGGAGGTGGCTAACTTCGCCTTCAGAAACAATAAGGTAAATACCTAAGTAAACATCCCATATTAAGAGTTTATTAAGTTTTCCCAGAGAATCAGTTCCGGAGTCAGAGGGGTGGGGGAGGGGCTTTTTAGCTGTTGACAGCAGCTCAACAAATTGTCTCAATTTCAAATCATTGTGTCGCTCCATTAGTTGGTTTGTTGGTTAGTTGGTTAGTAACAAACGTCAGCAACAGCATGGCTATAAATGCCCTAGTCCCTCAGTACCAGGTATATCAACTCCTCCCTCAGGCCTGGGCCCTCTGTTGTTCACTTTAATGGTTCTCCACTGAGGCACTGACCGCTTTCCAATTTATGCAGTCCAGGAAAATTGGGTCACTACATGACTACGTGGTCAAAAACCTGATGTTTGTACGGAAGACACACTACTCCTTCCACAAAATACATGTCACAATCACGTCACACATGCATGAGCACAAATGCGTTGCCCAGCAGCTTCCGAAATAATTTTGAGCTTGTTTCTTAATTATTTTTTTTTAGGAGGTATTTATTTTCTGTTTTCCCTGTTTCCTCTGCTGTCATCTGATTATTTGATCACTTCAAAAACAGAAATTTTCACCCACGTGAGCAAATATACATAAATTGCCCTACTTGTATGGTGGGTTTAGCCTTTATTTTTGGTGGTCCCCCCCCTTTCCTTTCCCTAAATGCTGGATCCACAACTGAGAATGTACTCTGACAAAACAAATCTACAGAAAAATCCCCAAGTCACACTGTTCATTGAAGGTACTTGCTCACTACATTGAAGTTTAAAATAAAACATGATGATGAAGATGATTAGGAATTACATAAACATTTTTTATTTAATTTAACATAATGAAAGCTGCAATTCTTACATAAATTTGTGATATGATAGGATTTTGAATCAATATTTATCTTATCACAGTAATCTTTTTCACAGGGGCACATATTTGAATAACATCTGCTGAATTCCTAGAAAAATTTTATTCCAAATTACTGTCCGCCCAAGATATGGTTTTTAAAACCCGAATGTCTTTATAATGTCAGGGAAATATTGATTTATGTTTCGCATGTTGACCTGTCTGTGGCATTGGCAAGTTCTCAAAACCTGCACGAAAGTGAAACCTTTTTTATAGCTTTGGAAACCAGAAATATCCTGGAAACCGAAAGTCATTCACCGTAACAACACAGTCGTCTAGACCAGAGAACTTTTACTTCCCTACTTTTTACTACTGTACAAATTGTAAAATTCAAATTTTAAGGGATTGGAAATCACATTAAAAACACATTTTGGTTCAATATGTTCGTTTTCATTTCTTGCAGAATCAAATCACAAGCCCACTGCAATCTATGGTAAGTATAACAACCAAATTATATCCAAGGCACATATAAAGAAAAATGGAAATATCTACAGCGCATCCCAAAATACCCGCAACAATTTTTTTTGCGAGGCTCTAGCGTCGGCGCGGAAACACGTACCGCCATTATTTTTTATACCATTTTAAAGCTTGGAATCTGAACTTTATCCCTAGCGAGTATTGGTTTGATATTTAAAAGAGTTTTTAAATTATTTGTACTCAAATAACATGTCGATAAAAACTCAACCGATTTCAAGGAAAGTCGATGATGCGATTATTATAGATGCCATCTTGAGTCACACTATAAGCGCACTTTTCGAATAGGCACATACTTGCATGAATTTCAAAATTTAACGAAGAACGATATTGCCAGGTGCACTTTTTTTTTTTTTTTTCCTTGAAGACAGTTGTAAGCTCCAGCAACTGATTTTCATGAAACATTACTAGTGTGTGACGTACGCCCACGTGATTTACGCTATAAATTTATTGCGCAGCTGCGCTATAAACTCACAATTGATTTCATGAAACTTTGTGTAGCTGTGCAATGTTTTAAATAATTGAAACATCTTGGACGAGGATAATTAGTAGCATTCACAATGGTTGTTTGTGTATGATTTTGGTTCGGTAAAGATAAATCACCTTTGCCCACCATTTTGAGAATAGTTTTGTAGGGCTGCCTTCGGATTCATGCGACAACTCTAAAAACTAGAGTTTCTTGTATCGACCTTGATATTTAAAGTTGAGCAATCACAGGCTCTATCACAATCGTGACCATTCAGTAAAATACATGCAGTTCATTTTCGGTAACTACGCCATAACTTCCGCCACCTTAATTTGTTGTGCAAATCACCAACTTACACAATGTGAAACTTTCGTGAAATCTATCATAACTGAAATGTTGCACAACATGAAATGTTACCCAACTTTTCAAAAGCAATAAATTGTGACACACGTGAAACTTCCCCGTTGCATAAAATTTCTTGAAATGGGCTGCTGATACCACAAGAAAATCAGTCTACTCTTTCGACATCTTTTAGTTTTAGGAAATTTTGGTTGTTGAAATGAATATGTGAGGAATTGGGGAGAAACTCTGTGTGGGAATAATTATTGGAAAACCACTACATGAGATTCATAAAATGTGATAACTTTTGGAGTGTCCAATGGTTTTGGTCCCCGTAAAAGTAATTTCAAACCGATGTATGGTCACCAAAACTCTGGTGAAAGTAGGTGTGTGTAAGCATTACATTCACAGTGCGGACTTCCGAACAAAAGAGGTCCACATAAACCAGGTAGAGGCGACGTTGTGTGGACGTGGGCAAGTCCACACAGTGTTTCCCCATTTCTGGAAAACAGGTTTAGAGGCATTTTTGGTTAGGTTTATCCGTGGCAAAATGAAAAGAAAACACTAGGGAATCATGAAAAAAATTGGGTTGAAAGTGTTTTCACAGTGAGAGTTAAATGAGTTTTTTTTTCAGAGTTTTTTTTAACTACACCAAATCAAGGGGATGTCCATACTAGGTATGTAACGTAGACAGATGTGTTAAAAAAACTGAGGAAAATATAATGATACATGTATGTGTTTTTATTTTGGTTTTATCGCCATTTTGATGAGGGTAGGCCTATATGTACACATCGTCGCAGTTTTCATGAAGAGACAATTTTGGCAAAAATCAATATATTTTCGAAATTCTTTTTTGGGCCGAAATTGATTAAGTGTATTGCAACGGACATCTTGGCGAATTTATTTTGTCAAAATCAGATGAAATCATTGAGATCATGAGAATCAATAAAGGGAAAATTTCACCCAAGTCGTATTTTCAGTTTTCACGAAGAGACAATTGTAGCAAAAATTCACGTTGTTCTATGGAAACAAAATAACGCGCGTGTGCGATTTTGAGTTTTCATGAAGAGACAATTTTCGAGCGCGCGCAAGCTAACTGACGCGTGCGGGCAAAACGAAGTGCGTGTGGGATTTTGAGTTTTCACGAAGAGACAATTTGTGCGTGTTTGGATAGCGGAGAGTTTGAGTTTTCACGAAGACACAATTGGATCATTGCCAATTTTCCTGGCAAAACCAATTGCCTGTGGAATTTTGAGTTTTCACGAAGAGACAATTGACTATGAACGTTAATTGCTCCGCAATTAATTGGTCTATTGACTCGCATTTGGTACAATGTGTAAGTGTGAGATTTCAGCTTACTATCGGTATAAAAAAATAATCAACATGTCCTCTAAAAGTAGGCGAAATCTTCAGTTTAAAAAGGGTTCAACTTTAAAGTCGATTTTCTCAAAACTATGTTTCAATGCCCAGTGACCACAAATCTCTCTTCGTGAAAACTCTGACGACATGTAGAACCTACTTATTACAGAGTCCTTGTAAACTAGACTCAAAACTCAGGGTTGAAATCTGATCTTGATTGAATGGTCCTCCTCACATTCCAACCTGCATTCCTGCTTGGATGGAGTGGCCAGTTAAACAATAGCCAATCAAGAGACCAGCCCCTTGTCCAGCTGTCACTAAAAGTGTTTGTAAACAAATTGATTGGGTTGGCATTCCTGCAATAAACAATGGCCAACAACTGCATCCTGCAAGTTTGGTTGTTAGGAAAACAACTGGGTGTTTTATAAGCTGTCTGCTTTCTGTGGTTAGCAGCTTGTTAATCCATTTAACTTGAGGTATTTGGCAGTATGGGGCAGAGTTACTTGAAGCAATTGACAATCAGCAGTCAAAAGACAGGGTCTCTAATTTGATACAGCTATATATGCATGTATGTAACTTAAACAAAAATATATCAAATGTTAACATATAAATACAGAAGTGCATGTTGTATACACATGTGCACAATGGGGGACAAGTTGACAAGTATTATGCTTGCAAGAAAGTACTTTGGGCTTCGACTAGTTTGACAAGTATTCTTGACTTGAATTTCAAGGGTTGTTTCTTTTATACCCAACTTCATGGAAATACATACATGTATGTGCGCAAGATATACATGTATGATTCAAATTTATTCATTTCAACCATCAAAATATTGAAGTAAATAATTCAACTTCCAACCTTATGTAGACCCACATTTTAGGATCAGTGGGAGCAAAGCTCCTAATGTTGATTCTTGCTGTTAGATTCACATCAAAAATAAAATTTTGTTAGAAGATGTTCATTAATATATTATAAAACAACGAGTGAATTTACAGTTATTTTGAATATTCAGACACAATTAGAAGCAATGTAAGCCTATTGTTTATTACAGTCCACAAATTTGTAATGCGATAGCCGATTTCACGAAACCTTACGAAATGGCGCAACTCCGCTTGCGCCACAATTTATTGTGAAGTTGCGCAGCAATATGTACACAAACAGCCATCATAAACGCTGTTATTTTCCTTGTCCAAGATGTTTAGATTATTTAAAACGTTGCACAGCTACGCCAAGTTTCGTGAAATTGATCGCAACAAATTTGTTCTATAAGTCTTACGCATTATGCAAGCTATGCACTTTTCCGTGAAATCGTCTGCTATAGTGCACCGATTTATAGTACATGTATACATACATCCACACTGAAACTTTCAGATTAACAAAATTACCAAAAACATTTTTGTTACTGTTCAAGAATGTTTTAGTATGCAGTACATGTAACTATCAAAAAGTTTATTAAAAAAAACAATGGCGCAACTTAGCTTGCGCCACAATTTATTGTGAAGTTGCACAGCAATATGTACACAAACAGCCATCATAAACGCTGTTATTTTCAACAAATTTGTTGCATAAATCCTACGCATTATGCAAGCTATGCACTTTTCCGTGAAATTGTCTGCTATAGTGCACCGATTTATAGTACATGTATACATACATCCACACTGAAACTTTCAGATTAACAAAATTACCAAAAACATTTTTGTTACTGTTCAAGAATGTTTTAGTATGCAGTACATGTAACTATCAAAAAGTTTATTAAAAAAAAATCATTAATTTTCCTTCAGAAGACGATGATGACCTCCCCATACGGCAGTATCGGTGACATAGCTGACCAGTTCAGCGATCTGTCCCTCTCGCCAATTGATCGTAAGATGGGAAGAAGACCGCCCCCAACCTATCTCTGCCACCTGTGCTTCAACAAAGGACACTACATCAAAGACTGCCCACAGGTATGCATTGATGTAAGCTTTGTTATTTTTTTTTTTAACCATTTGAAGAAAATCAATTGAAAGATGAGTTCCCCTTGCTATGTGTATTTTCAAGTTTCACCTCGAAAAATGGATTTGTTTAGTTTTTAATAGACTTTATTATCGGGCATTCTAAATTGAAAGCGATATAAAGTCTTCATTTGGGAACTTAATTGCGAGTAGAAATGAAAGTAATGAAGTAAAAGTTCATTACAAATTAATACAAGTCTGCTCTTATGAATCATTCAAAATCTGTGATTAAACATATCCTAATGTTTTAAGCCACATTAAAAAAAAAAAATGAAGATACGCTTTGCACGAACTCCAATCATGAAATAGTCTGGCACCATCCAATTCAACAATTTACAATTTGTCAAGAAGATTCAGGGAACATGATAGAAAATGGCTCTCTCGTGAATTAGGTCTATTGCTGTTTTCCTAGGAACGTAAAGTTATTCATGTTTGAATGAGACATCGATGAAAAAATCCAGCTACATTTGTACATTTAGTTATTGAATTTTTTTAAAATTTGAATTTTCTGCCAGACAATATTTTTTTTAATTTGCACGCAAAATGAATGCCCTTTTGACATGTACAGAGGGTTCCAGACACCCAAAATCGGAATAAAGAACTTTTTGTTAGGAGAAAATTTTTTTCAGTTTTTGAAGGGCACGGGTTATGAACTTTGAAGTTTCTGTGTGCAAATTTATTGTTTCACCTCCAATTTTGTTAGGTTTAAAAAAAAGTCCACTCGCATTTTTCCTTGGATCCGCTGTTTTCCTTGTTTTTTTTACTTCTTATGAATGCCAAATGAATTGAAAAACACTGTATTAAAGGGAAAATACAACATTTGCAAACATTGAAAAATAAAACTACCAAGTTGTTACGAAATACCTTACTAGGATGTTGGTAAATGACAGTCTAAAGCATACTGTACAATTATGGCACCTGGTGTGAAGTCATTTTCAAGAAAAATGGTACTTTTGTATACATTTCCAACGGTGGTCAGCCGACCACTGTTGGAAAAACCTAACTATTTTTCAACCACTGCTCCAAATTTACCATTTTTTTTTCCAGTCCAAATTTTGTTTGCTATTGGTTCTATGTTCATGAACGGGTGCAGGCCAGCTAGACTGGTTCCCTTACATGTACCTTACAATTTTCCGGCATTTTTTTATCAATTTCATCTTTAGTTGAGTCAGGGAAGGGAACCAGACTACCTGAACATGTTTGTTTTTCTTGGTTTTTCCAGCATTTTCGAACGCAAAACTTCAAACATGTCAGTGTAACAATATTTGATCTATTATACCCCCACCCCCCAAAAAAATAATTCATTTCTGAAAATTACAGCAAAAGCCAATGATGTACATTCCCTTTAAGTCTTGTGCGGTTGGAATTTGCTCGGGTTTTTTTTCTTCAAAATTCCCAGTTGCATGCCTGTTATACGGAATGATTGCTTCACACAGATACCGTACATGTATGACATGTACATGCAGATCGTTCATGTGTTGAGGGATTAAGAAACAAAAAAGTTTCAGAAGAAAGAAATTTAACAAACAAAATTAAGAATTCTTTTTGAGAAAAATGTTTTGAAGAGCATACCCCGATCTGTACCATTTTCTTCAGACTACCAGTATAGTTCATTTTAAATACAATTCATATCCTCCAAAACAAAAACAGGTTAGCCTCCTCAATTTATATCCTGCTTGGAGCCAGGCCACAATTAGGTTATGACTCCATTTTTTTGTTCATTGCGCGAACCGTTAAGTTCGTCGCCTGCTTATTATCAAAACAATGGCTAGCTCATTGCCTGTTGTCAGGATGGAAGCTTAACTTCCACCGTGTCTATATCGCAAGCTGGGGAATTCCCACAGTAGCTGTGCCCGATCAGCCAAATGATAATAACATACCGCCCTCCATCCCAAATAACAATGATCTTTATCAGAAATCCTTTAGAAATGACTGTTGCTCGTCCCCGGGAAGGAGTTCCCCCTGTTTGACTCTGTGCGCCGGATGCATTCACTTTCCGTTGCAGGCTGACTGCGACTTCCTCTCTATCCCAATATATACTTGAATGGAGACTGAGTCATGTCAAATGCATGCATTCACTTGGGCAACACAGCCAGCCATTTTGTTCGTTTTGGTTCAGGGTGTCTCCAGTAAATATGTTTCTCATGAAGATTGACAAAAAAATAAGAAAATCCAAGATAAAACAAATCCAGTAACCACAAAGGGATATCAAATTGTCATACATTTAAGAGGAGTAGAAAGTTACACAAAATATGTTTCTAAAAAAAAAATCACTTCGTGGACCCTTTAAAGGGAATGTACAACATTTGCTTTTGCTTAAATTTTCAGAAACAAATGGATTTGGAGGATTAGTATGTTATATAAAATATTGTTAAACTGACTTGTTTCACGTTTTGGGCTTGTAGATGCTAGAAAAACAAAGAAAACCAATTATGTTCTGGTAGTCTGGCTCCCTGACCCCACTTAAGATGAAACGAGCAATTAATACACCTTAGGGAATTGTAAGGTCAGAGAATCATGCAGTTTAGCAGGCTTGTACCCCTTCACAGGTGTGTTTTTGAAAAATAGCCAGTTTTTTCCAATGCTCGTCGGCTGAATACAGTTTTTCTTGAAATGTCAGCACACCGGGAGCCACGAGTTTAATTGATGCTTTGGAATGCAATTCCCTAACAATCCAGTCAGGTATTTCATGATAATTTGATCGTTTTGTTTTTTGATGTTTGCAAATGTTGTATTTTCCCTTAAAGTTCTACAAATCTTGCACAATTGAAAACATTTAGAAATGTAAACCTTTTCACCCAAGTTGTCATATCCATGTTTGTTAGAAATAGAATTTTCGAACTGTTTGTCCAAAGCTGAGAGTTGAGTATGCTCTTTCTAGTGCATGTTAAAATTGAATGAGAAAAGCAAAGCAAACTGTTTTAGGACTCACTTTACTGAAATTCTTTGAAAAAGAAATTCTTTGAAAAATTCCTCTGGCATAAACAATGCCAACTTAAGTACATGTACATGTATTCTTGTAAACATATCAAATGTCTGACATGACTTGATGAAGCATTCACAGGAGCGGCTTAACTAGAAGCTGAACTAGTTCAGATGAGACCTTGAACTTTCCAATTGATTGATGGATTTCAAGTAGTAGTCTGGAAATGTGTTTCCATTGGCCCTTTTTTTAAGTGAAAGTAACTTACTTATGACATTTCCCTAGTGCAAACAGCCCCCAAATCTCCACTTCAGTACTAGGTCAAATAGTTATTTTCAACATAATTTGCTAGTCTCTGGAGGCCTAGAGATCAAATTTGCTGTGGGTGTGATTTTTTTTGTACTCTCATTTGGAACTGCTGTGCCAGCAAGAGGAATGACATTTCAATTTTCATATTTTTTATGTTAGGAAAACAGACATGTTGATGATGAGAAAACATCCTGTGAAACCTATTTTAGGTCTAGAGTTTAAGGTGCGGTGGCAAATATGCAACACACAGGCTATATTCATTTGATTTCCAAATCAAGAGACTACCAGTACATTTTAGGATACCTTAGAAAAGCCAACTTTTGAGTCAACATTGAGAGATTACAGAATTTGTTTATCAAGAAGTGTTCAGAGACTGGACTTTCTAGTGATTGTTTTTAATTAGCACGTTCCAGTAGCCTTCCTGTTCAACATTCTCCCACAGACTTGCTTAAACTGTCAATAACTGTTAACCAGATTATCTTGCCCACTTCCTTTCTGTCTAATAATGTACATGCTTACATGCTGGTGGCAACTTTGCAAGTTGCATTTGGAAGGTGATTAGTTTAAAACAATAAATATGAACAGCTGGGGTTTTAAAAGCTTGGGATCAGGTACATGTCAATTACCTTTTACAAAAATTAAGTGACTACCTTGCGCATGCAAGTTACTTTTTTGTAAATGTAGATCTTTGGGAGACTGGTACTGGAGTTGAAATCCATTGCAAAATGATCTTCTGATGTTCTTGATAGGATTTTTTTTTTCGCCCTGTAGCTGTGAAACTTTCTTCTGCTTGGTTTCCCTCCCATTCTATACCATGATGAAATACAGATGGTGGCATTGCTAGCGATACTGACAAGCTAATGGTTGGCCTGTAAACATTTAAACTCAGTTTCGATTGGAAGGAAAACAGATGAGAATGGAGTCTCCCGATTGGCCCAAGTCCAAAACAACTTCCTTAAAAGGTTGAGTTCGAAAGGCCATCTTGACAACGTCTTTGCCTTTTGAAGAAGGGCAGATCTCCCGCAAGAAGCAATTATGATGTTCCACTTCAGATATGCTCTTAATTCTGTTTCTACCATTAGAATATTGTAAATATGTTTCACCTTTTAGAGTTATGTTGGAGTCCGGACATTTATTTGGCGTGTAGAACAGCTGTGTACATGATTTGTAGCTAATGTTCGTTTCAAGATACATGCACATTATATATTCCCTGGTACAACAGAAGGTACAATAATTCTTTCAGGTTGACAGGTTCCAGTCCATAGACAATATTGTGAATTATGAACTAAAATTGTCTCAATTATATCACCCTCTTCGGTTTCTCTGATGGCTCAGCTAGTCTGGCACTGTTACAGCCGTGGAAATTATTTCCATTAAAGAAGATAATTTTGCAAACATAAAAAAATAAAAACAATACCAAATTATTATGGAATACCTTTCTAAGTTACTGGTCTGTAAGTGAATAACAGTCTAAAGCATCCTGTAAAATCATGGCACCTGGTGTGCTGTCATTTTCAAGAAAAGTTTTATTTTTGTATCAATTTCCAACACTGGTCGGCCGACCAACGTTGGAAAAAAATGGCTTTTGTCAAATACTGCCCCCAACTATATTTAGTTAGTCCGCATTTTGTTTGCAATCGATTACAGGCTTAGGCCTAAGCCAGCTAGACTGATTCCCTGACATTACAATACAATTCCTTGACGTCTATAAATTGCTCCGTTTCATCTTAAT